ACGTGTATAGTTGCCATTTATGTTGTTGAGAAAAGGTATTTCCAATCATTGGTCTTGCAAAATTCTGTCATGAGACCTCTGGCATCATGTCTATCACCAAGGCCAACTACCAATCCTTTGTTTCCAATTTTTGCATTCCAATCACCAGTAATTATCAATGCATCTTGACTGTAGTTTTGATGAATCTCAGCCTGCAGAAGTTGGTGAAAATCTTCAGTTTCTTCATCTTTGACATTATTAGTTGATACATGTATTTGAATAATAGTTGTATTGACTGGTCTTCCTTGTAGGCGTATGAGTATTATCCTATCATTGACAGCGTTGTATTTCAGGGTAGATCTTCATAGGTCCACCATGGGTGACCCTGCTGGTATTTGAAATACCAGTGGTATAGCTTCTAGCATTTCAGCAGCACACAAGCCACCACGGTACCTCAAACTGACACACGAGTTGTGCTCTAAGCTGTTAACCAGTGACAATTTTGATTTTTCTTTTGTATTAGCTGCAATCTGTGGTACTTATATGTGTTTCACTTACATGTTTAGCTTATATGTGTTAAAGTATAAGTTTATTTAGAAGTGTATTAACTTTGTGTATCTTTCTGCTGGTCTTTTTCCCCCCTCGTACCTACTCACCCTTTTAAGACCAAGCTCTCAGGTAACTTCCCAGGAACCTTTCAAATTGGCTCCTTCTCTCAGTCTATAATACATCTATTATAACACAATAACACAGTGTGTTATAGTTGTTTAAGAAGCGGTCTCCCTCTCCCCCTTCCTTCAACCCACTAAATGGCTAGGGTTTTAGAGTCAAAGACAATGTCTCATTCATTTCTTGCACTCTCCACCACACTACCTCCTCAATTATAGCACATAATAGGTATTGAATGAATTGTTGTTAAAGAATAAATGAACTTAAGCAGAAAATAGAAAAGAAGGATTTACTGATGAGTTGATTTACCAATTTAGAATTTAAATATAAATTTTTTAAATCTAAAATCAGAGTAGATTGCATGATCAATACAGCTTTAGATCTTGGCACAGAAAAAGTGGATATTCTCCAACTTTAGTAGTATTTGAGGGCGGAAAGTATGATGCTGTAAACCAAGGTCCCCCCAAAATGCAAAGGAGAGATGTGTTTACAATCCAGTTTTGGTTTTGTTTTTTAATTTAAATTCCCATTGTGCTATCAGTTTGCCTGAGCATACAGCAAGGTGGCAAATCTGCCAACCATCTAATGAAAAAACATATTAAGACATTTTCACTAGGGCAGACAGAGTTGGTGCAGGGATAGAGGAATGGAAGTGGAGATGGGTGGAGAATGTCTAAACCTTTCTGTTGCTCTGTTTTGGAAAGAGTTTATGATAGTATTTGGGGACTCTTAAAGCTTTTGATGGATGAGATGTGGCTCTTGCCTTGGATAAGCAGCACATATTCTAGAGGTTGATCTTAGAGAAGCTAAGATTGTTAGTAGGGCCTACAAGTTACATGATTTGTCAGATGGGCCAGCTTACCTATCTTACAGCAGTATTTGGAGCTAAGTACTTGGTTTTTTTTTTGAGAGCCTTTAGAAACACTGTTTACACATAATACTTAAATTTTCCAGGGTCAAAACATCTTTAGTGTAAACTTTTACTGGGTAAATTATTTGAAATGTAAATCATTTTTCCAACTAAAGTGACTTTGTCTCATATTTTAAAGAAAGAGCAATTAAAAAATGCCTACATAGTCCCCATACCCTTAGGTGGAACAGATCAATCCAAAAGTAATATTTTTAACAGGATATTATATGTGTCATGAATGTTTCATAAATTTTGGTCATGTTACATTTTATTTTTGCTTGTTTTCTGTTCTTTGTTTTTTATACTTTTTCCATAAGAAGAAATTATTTTAAATAGCATATCTGTATTCATTCTTCACTTTTTATTCTATTTTTATGTAGTCTTTGTCTAAGAAATAGTTAATAAAATGCATTATTTTCTGAAGTATTAATGCCTTAGGAGAGTAAAAGCCACATATTGTTTTTCTACCTTAGGTTTAGCAACCTTGAATACACAATACATGCTCACTTATTTGGTTAATTTTTGTTTTAAATGGGATCATGTCTAATTTTAGACCTAATGATTTACTAAATCTCAACATCAGCTTTAATAGGCTTAACTTGTCAATCCTTGAAGGTTATGTTATGTACATTTTTTATCCATAAAAATGTCTATTTGAACATTATATTTTACTTTTCCCTAACCTTGCCTTTTCTGTAATTGCTTCCTGTTTAGATCCTGGATTACTTTTTAACGAATAACCACCTATCAGATATTAAATAGTCAAAAGACGTTATTCATTTGCCATGCATAATACTGTTTGAACTCCTTCTGTGTGCTAGGCCCTATGCTAGGAACTAAGGGGCCCAGCCCTCAGGTTGCTCATATCACTTGTGAGAGAGATACCAATGAACGGACAAATGTGATTTATTGTAATGAGCGCTATGGTGGAGGTAAGCCAGAGAGAGCTGTGGAATTTGAGGCTTTAAACTTCAAGGTGGATGCTCATAGGGGGCTTTCCTTCCCAGTATTCATCTTTACACGGAAGCCAAAACCAAGGCATCCTTCAAATGGGAAATTACAGCATGTAGCCAAAAATGCATCCAGACAAGAGTTGCATTTCATCAACTTGACAAGGCTCTCATTATCTTCTGAAGCATGAACACCATGGTCATCTTTTTTATCAAGGAGTTATCCATATTGTATTATCACTTCTGAGAACAGTTATTGTGCGGAACAAAAGCCATGAGAAAATAAGAACCGCTCTTGAGCCCTCCTACGATTCTAGGGGCGTCTCTGACTTGGGTTTCCTAACTCTAGGATGGCAGACTGTTCCTTGAAGCTAACTCCTACAGAGAACTCACACCACTCTTATCACCTCACCTTCGGTTTTTTTCTTTTTTGTCTGGGCCTTTCTCCCAACTCCCCTTCCTCGAGTTTTACTCCCTCAGCGGAAACTCTTGTATTATTTGATTGCCCCTACAACTGAGTTTTCTTGAACCCAGAGCCTCCACACTATGTGTGAATTTGACCTGTTATGAAAATCACCTGTGAGAAAAAAAAAAATCACTACTTTTTAACTCCATTGCCACTAGTTGTGTGACCTTATTTGTTCAATCTCTTGGAGGCTCAGTTTTCTCATCTATAAACCAAACCCGTTGCCATTGAGTCAATTCTGACTCATAGCAACCCTACAGGACAGAGTACAAGTGCCCCATAGGGTTTCCAAGGAGCGGCTGGTGGATTCAAACTGCCAGCCTTTTGGTTAGCAGCCGATCTCTTAAACACTGCGCCTCCAGGGCTCCTCATCTATAAAAGGGGGATAAAATAATAGTACTACCTGATAGGGTTATGTGGGAAGAACATGGGATAAGTATATAAAACAGAGCAATCTGAATTATTCCAGTGGCACTTGGAACTGCTTAGTAGCAGTCACATCTTTTAGGGCACAAAAGTTTGCACACAGTGACTTCTTATCTTTTACTATCTCATGCATTTAATATGCCTTATGATCTTCCCTTCCCCCCACCTTTCTGGCACTTTGCTTTCCAGTTTGGTGAGTGTTCAGCCTTAGTTTTTGTTCTTGTTGTTCTTGGTTTTTGTTTGTTTGCTCTTCTTCAGAGCCAGCATTATCTCCAAAGCTTCTGCTCTCCTCCTAAAATGAAGTATAAGAGCTTCTGCCTAAGAGCACTAGACTAGGCCCTGCCAGTAAATTACTGACCAACTGCCTGACTGGGACAAGCAGCCAAAACTTTCCGTGTTTTGTTTCCCTCACCTAAAAATGGCGGCCTGTAGAGTTTTCAGTGGCTGGTTTTTTTGCCTTTCTTCTGAGACATCTCTGATTTGTGTGGACTTGAACCTCCCACCTTTCGTTTAGCAGCCAAAAACATTAGCCACTTGCACCACCCAGGTAATTGGAGTAGATGAGTCTACCCTTCTTTTTAGCTTTATGATCTCTTCTTAGATTCCTTCCATCTATTTTGTTCATGTCTGCAATTTATCATTCTGTGAGACCAAGGACAAGTTATGTGATGTAGTGGAGAATGTTTCAATGCAGAGGCTGCAAAGGGATGACTTTTTGGAAGTTTGTTAAAATAGTGATTGCCTCTGGGGAAAAGGGAATGGGGGTTGCCTGGGAAGAAGTTTGAGGGAACTTTCTGGAGAGAACGCAATGTTCCATATTTGAGAGGAGTTTGGGTTACACATGTGTACACTCAGATCTGTACATTTCCCTGTGTGTAAATTTTACTTAAAGCAGTAAGCAGATATTGAACTCTAGTTAATGATATGCACGCTGAAGTCTTTGGAAGTGTACTGATGTCTGTAATTTGAAATGCATTAAAAATAAAATCAATTAATGGATAGATAGAGTGATGAAGGAATAAATAGATAAATGATAAAGCACCAAAAAAAAACCCAAACCAAACCCATTGCTGTTAAGTCGATTCCAACTCATAGCGACGCTATGGGACAGAGTAGAACTACCCCCTAGGGTTTCCAAGGAGCGGCTGATGGATTCGAACTGCCAACCATTTGGTTAGCAGCCATAGTGCCACCAGGGCTCCATCATAAGTTTAAGTGACCTGAGTTAACTGGTTCAGACAGACCTTTCCTTAGCCAACCTTGTAGGTGGGGAAGTTCCTTCCCTTGGACATTTTAAGCTAGCTTGAATGTCCATCCCACAGACCTGAAGCTTGCCAAGCAAAGCTCATCCCTGTGGCTGTTTTAGTCACTAATAATTATATTTCCAGAAGTTAGTGTCACCTATCAGCCACAGATTAAACTTTCCCTCTCCTCGGCACCCTTCCATCCCCCCCTCCCAAATGTCCTTGACCACATGAAGTTCCTTCAAAAGGGAAAAGCCCTTTTGTGGTTTTGTACTTTTGTTTTCATTCTACCACATGTTCAAGATGCCTTGTATTTCTTTTTAATAAATCCTACTTCATGCTGTCAGGATTCATAGCGCTTTAGTTGGAGACAGCTTCTCATTGTCCTGGCTTGAATTCTGGCACTTAAGAGCTTCTTCATTCTGAAGCTTATAGGATATCTCTCACTCTTTTATTTGGAGTGGAGAGCTTGTCTTCTCTCCACTGTTAAGCCTCAGACCCTAGTGGTGCCCACAGTGAGTGTACCATCCATGTGTGTTTGAGAATGTACAGGATTAGGAGTGCATGAACTCTGATGCAGTTAATGTGGATATGTGGACAAAAGGGCAGGCAGGGGGCCCTTAGGACAATGAATTCAGTCATGGAGATATATAGTTTCCTGTGAAAACCAATAAGATAGCTAAAATATGTTTTGAATTATTTTATTCTAAAGATGTCATCTTTCTGTTTTCCGTAACTTTCATAACAATAGCTGATCACAACTCAGTTTACATACCGAACACACAAATAACAAAATGACATTTTACGAGATCTAAATGAAACAAATATTTGGAATAAAATTGGAATTGGAGGGAGAGAGGGGAGTAGAATACTTCTTGAGTTGCACATGAGTTCATACTATAGTTGTTAAGCCTCTGGCGCTCAGTGTAGAGTATTCTTACTTAAAATCCACAAAACTGAGGGGTGGCAAAGAAATGTGATTGCCTGAGCGTTACCCTAAAGACTGGATCTGTAAATTTACATGGGTCCCTAAAACAGGCAGGTGTATGTGACTGCCACATAGTGTCTGGGCTAACCAAGAAAAACTTGCTTTTCTGCATGATTGTGGTGAAAGCACAGCTTTCACATTCATAAGGATTGTTTTAAGGGAGTAACTACACATTGGGCAAGCTCTTCCATAGTCCAAAAAGCATTGGCTGGATTTAATATACTAGGGGCATGTGGATTCCTTAGACTGTCACACCGTGTCTGTGCCAATAAATCAGAGTGTCTATTTCTGATACGAAATCTGATGTTGGCAGATTTTCTTCTTTATCAGAAGGGTGATACTCAGAAGGGAGGATATTTTTCTCGTGTATTTTTCTGTCTCTGTGATTGGGATGTTTTTATGGGTTTTTTAGCTATGAAATAATAACTGGCAAGTCCCAGGAAAACTAGATCTGGATTTCATTTTGTCTCTTCAGCTCTGTGTGATCTTGTGCACATTCCTGACATGTTGCAAACAGCCTATGTCTCCGAATGTGCGGTATCAGTTTTCAGTGGTGGAAGCCCCAAAAGGAAACAGGCTGATTCTTCCATGTGCAAACAGCTGGGCAGTTGTGGATGGAATTAATTGCTGATATATATTGGCTGTGTTTTTCTTCTCTTGTCATTTCCTTTGCAGCTGTGAAAGTCAAGTTTGACTTGAAAACAGACATTTTTAGCAGTGCAAATCCAAAAAGTATCAAGATGGGATTCTTCTAAAATAATCTCCAACTGATAGCTTTGAGTTGTTCAGTTTGAGAATGAGATAAGGGAGAGCAAGAGATGGCAGTAGGTGATTCATAATTAACATATATGGTTGAAAAAATAATTAAATGAAGCATTTGTACTATGAAAAGAGATAGTTTGGATTCGCTGGCCATATTGCACATAGTCAATACTCGGAGCTGATTTATTGTTCCAATCTGATGGACTACAGTTGGTAAGGGTAATACGACAACAAGTATCACTAACAATAATATTTTCCTGGTCTTTCCCAAAAATCCTTTCCACTATTTGTTTTAAAATATATGTAAACAGTTACATAGCTTATTATTTTACATGCTGAGATATTTTACTCAGAGAAATTTATTTTTTATTTCATAAACTATAGAAATTCAATTAAAAGTAACTCAATTATGTCTGAATGTGCATATAAAGAAAGTAGTATTGGTTAAAATTACTTAGAAGAGTAATCAGATATTTGATAATAGTTTCAATAACTGACAAATTAGACACTATTAAAGATTTTTAGACATATGTATACATCCTATGGGATAGCTTATTTGGAAATAAGTCATAGAAAAAGTTAAAATTCATATGAAATTATTAGGAAAAGTAGGTGATTACAAAATTTTAAAAAGAACAAAGTCTGCATGTTAGTAACATTCATCAGGATAATTTTCCCTTTTATATGTTCATATCAGTGTCCTACCAAAGCAAGCCCATAAATCAAATCCCTTATTTCTTTAGTTTAAGACAAGTCTTGCTTTTATTGTTTTTTATAGACAGGAGAACTGGAACTTTGGCGAGGAGAGGGTATGTAATCTGCTTGTGTTCACTTTCAGGTCTCCTGAAAATAGGCCAAAGTAAAGTTCTAGTATAACAGTATTTCTGATACCTTGAGATATGAAAAGCTGTAGTTACTAAACTTATAAGTTGGTACGGTTGGACTTCCTTTTTACTAGTTCCTTCTACCTCAGTTTTCTCTTGGCTGAGCTGCATGATGTACCTTGTATTTTCTCCTTTCTTCAGGAAAAAGAAAGGAGTCTATATTTCACTTCAAGGCAGGTAAAGCTGATCTGCAAACATGAACTTTCCCCTGTTTTTCTGAGAAGTATTAACCAATTAATGTTGACTTGGAGGCCCTAAAAAATGTGGCAGCATTAATGTGCAGTTTGCTCTCACTGAAGCCTGCCTGGGTGTGTTGTTTCCCCCAGAGTGGGCTCCACCCTTGCTCTAACCACACTGAGTATGGATATCTTGCTGTTAAAAACAAAGTTCATTTTTAGGGCAGCATTGCATCAGAATTGCCACACAAAAACCAGCTGAAGAAATGTACAGCAGCTTCAATTTTTTTTCGTAAGTAACGGATTGTCTATTGTAATACTGATAGCTCACAGCTCAGGGAGAAGCATAGATAATAAGGTAGATGAGATGGTTAATTTTGTGCCAGCTGCTGGTAACATGCAATATTCTTCTTGGGGCGGAGCTTAGGGTTTTATCACTCAACTAAGCTGTTTCTGTTAGTTCACTTGTCTGCTTTTTTTTTTTTTTTGAAACTATTTACTGAATTGTTATTGTTGTTGCTGTAACTGTTTTTGGAATGACACTGACGATTTAAACTAAAGAAAATACTAATTGTCTCCCAAATGTGCTAATTATTTGACATCAAAATGTTTGAAATAGTGTTTTAGTACTGAATTTATTGGACCCAATAATAGCATAATCTGGCAATACTGTGTTTTTCGAGACATCGTGGCATGAACTGTGTGTGTAAGAGTGGGTTCATTGAATTAAAAAAAGGCAGTATCTAAAGAGCCTTTCATGTCTATCATAATGATGCTTTGTCCTGTTCCTGCTGGGTATTTGTCAGAAGAGTTGCGGAAGACTACAGTCCAGAGTTCTGTTCCATGCCATGTCAGTTCCATGCCTCTGTGTTCTTTCTAGAGTGTATGACGTGAACAGTAAGTTGAACTGTAGGAGAATTATTGTTCACTGAGGTCCACGTTCAGCAATTTTTCTTTGCAAATAATGTCAGACGTTTTCTCTCCCCTCACAGTGTATTGAGGGACTGTTTGTAGCTGGGTTTTAAATGCCTGTGAAGTGTTTGATTATGCACTGACCCAAGTGGGCATGATGAGAGAGAAGCTGTGCTTTGTGATGTCTTTATTGACTGTTGTCTTCCTCTAGTGCGGGTTCATTGTGTACTCTTTTGGGGTAGACACACCCATTTGGTGCAAGCAAGTTGAAATCAAAGCTGAATGTTGAGAATGGCATATTTTTGTAAAGCTTGCAAGGGTGACATTGTGCCATCTTTTTTGGACTTGGACTTCCTAGCATCTCCTTGCTTCAGCTTCCTCTTTGTTTAACTTGGTAGTAATTGTGGTTAGTTATTTCGTAGCATGGCATCTAGAAAAAAGCACTAGCCTGGGAATCAAGGTTCTACAAGTTATTTACCTGTAAAGTTTGGAATACGGAACTCTAAATTCTTTTCCAGCTTAGAATACCCTACCTAATTCTCTTATAAAGACTCAAGCCAATTCCAGAAATGCTAACTGGAATATATTAGAACTGAGGAAAAAATGATTAAATGTTAACCCAGAATCATTCTTATAAATGACATGCAAACTAAAGGTTTGCTTTAAATAAATCGTATATGTCTGAAATTTTAGAAATTTACTTTTCTATAGCTGAGTGATAGAATTAGCTATATAAATACTTTTTTTTCTTTTTTTTTATTGTACTTTAGGTGAAGGTTTACAGAACAAATAGTTTCTTATTAAACAGTCAGTACACATATTGTTTTATGACATTGGTTAACAACCCCACGACATGTCAACACTCTCCCTTCTCGACCTTTTTTTTT